TATTATTATTATTATTATTATTATTATTATTATTATTATTATTATTAGGCAAACACATATTGTTTATCTTTATTTTTAAAATAAATATTAAAGGATTATAATTGAAATGAAACAAAAAGATTGAGATTAATGAAAGAGGTTAGAATTAATGTGTTTGTTTCTCTCCTTACTGAAAAATTGGAATGGAAAAGGTAATAATAGAATTAAGTATGCATATATGAATGTATAATTGCTGTTATATTTGTATGTAAAGGTGATGACCCGGAAATATGCTGTCCACTAAAAAGATATTTTTGTTTTTAATGTGAAAAACTGAATAAAATTTGTTAAAAAAAAAAAGAAATAGGAGCACAATAAGTGCTTTCAACTGTACTTTCAACAAAAGGCTAACATTCAGTGAAGGAGTAAAGGATTTTAGAAATGAACCATGGTGAGCATTACCCACATGATGGACTCTTGGCAAGGGATGGGCTGTACCTCACAAAAATTGGGAAGAATGTATTCAGAAAAGGACTTGCTCGGCTTGTCAGAAGGGCTTTAAGCTAAAATTGATGGCAGATGTGGGGGAGAGTGGCCAATCCTAAGGATCTTTAGGACCTAATCTCAAGCGTATACCTCAAGACAACCAGGGAAGGAAGAAAAATTCAGATATAACGTAAAAGATATAGGAACCCTACCTAGGGTCAGCCATAAAGAACTCAGACACTTATACTCAAACACTCAAAGTTTGGGAAATAAGGCGATGTCAACGTACTAGTACACGAGGGCAAGTATGATATAGTTGCCATTACTGAAACTTGATGGGATGAAACTCATGATTAGAATGTACTGATGAAAGGATACAAACGATTCAAAAGAAACAGAAAAATATTAGAATGTGTAGAAATGGATAGATTAAAACAAGGAAAAGGAAAAAACAATACTTTTTGACTTGGGACTTATTTTATCAATGGTTAGCTGACAAAAGCAGAAGTTAGAAACATGGAACTATAAGAGGAAAAGGAACAATGAAAAAAGGGAAGCTCATTAAAAAGAATAAGCAAATATCAGTATTATTATTATGATCATTATGATAGAATGAATATCAATGTAATGAATATTATAAACACTTTGATGATTATTTCCTAATACTATTTGTACCCAGACACTGTTTAATCAATAATGGAATTTTTATATATTATAAAATAAAAAACTATGCAAAAAAAGAAAAAACAGACCTAATAAAAGAGGAGTTGGAGTTACATTATATGTAAGAGATCACTATATCTCTACAGAAATGCACAAAACCAAGAATGAAACCTCCTAGAATGTATATGGATCAATGTAAAAGGAAAAAAGAATGACATTGCCATGCGACAGGCTACCCAACAGAGCAGAAGAAA